ATCTGGGGGAATGTTTGTTCACCAGAACGCCCCAAGGGATGACAAGGTCGAACAGTTATAAACTCCTTCAAGACCGTTTCAGGCTGGACATAAGGAAGAATTTCTTTACTGTCTGAGCCCCCAAGGTCTGGAACAGCCTGCCATTGGAGGTGGTTCAAGTACCTACTCTGAACACCTTTAAGAGCAAATTGGATGCTTATCTTGCTGGGATCCTATGACCCCAGCTGACTTCCTGCCCCTCAGGTGGGGGGCTGGACTCGTTGATCTTCCAAGGTCCCTTCCAGCCCTAATGTCTATGAAATCTATGAAAACCAGTTTTCAGCAAGGAGCATGTTTCTCAGTGTAGACAAAGCCCTCTTAGCCTCAATACAGGCAGGATGGAGTGCTTAGTTTTCTTTGCATTTGTTCTGTAGCAGTAGAAAGCAAATGAAAGCTTTCAAGTATAGAGCACAGTGCTGTAGTATGGCAGAGGAGATCACTCTGGGAGGACAAGCTGTTGGACTTTCAGACTTTCCATTTGGATTGTCCTTTTTTTTTTCCCACCCCATTCCAACTCCTGGTGGTTACTTCTTTGACATTGCCAAGTAAGAGAGGAACTTCCCAAATACAGCATCCCTACATTTTCCAGTGAGACCCAGCATTTGAAAATTCAAAGTTTCCCAATCCGTTCATCATTGTGTGACAGTGGCCACTTGTTTTTTTTTCCTTCAACACCTGCACATTTGTTTCTGATCCCTCTGCCTCATCTTTCTCCCAAGCACGGGTGGTTCTTTTCCCTGCTTCCAACTCCCGTCAACGCCTTTAATATTACTTCCCTGTCCTCGCTGGTGCCGACATCCGCTTGCAATTTAGTATTGCCTGCAGATTTAATTTCCTTGCTGTTTGCTTCCTCTGTCAGATTGTTAATGAAGCTGTTTAGTGACACCCTGCTGGTGTTTTTCTATCATCATCATCATTTAATATTTCTATTACAGTTGTGCTCAGAAAGCCAAATCAGAGTGGGAGTCCCAGTGTGCAGCATGCAGTATGCATACAGCTAGGTGATTTCAGGGTTATCTCCTGCCCTGGAGAGGTTACCGTTGCATTGTTCGTTACTGGTTATTCATTTTGAGGATTTACCTTTTGTGCTGTGACCTCATGCTCCTGTGGGACCAGTCCTGCAGCACTTGCTTAAGTGTGTGCCTGGTTCTGTTGTGACTTCATTGGGGTTGTTTGTGTGAGGCAGCTGGGGGATGATGGTATGGTGACTAAAATGATTGCAGCACTGGCAGCTGGGTTGTACAGGCTCTGATCCCAGTTGTGCTACTGGTTTCACTGTATGCATTTGGGCAAGTTGCAGCCTCCATGGACCTGTTTTTCCACACGTTGGATGCCACTGCTGTGTTAAAGATGGTGCAAAGCTCATTTTGTTCCTAAAAAGTGTGCTGTGATCATTCAGTGGAAGATGCCCTCAAAGGGCAAACAGTGATCAATACATAAGCCCTCTGCGTGAATTGTGTGACTTAAGCTTGTGACAGCAAAGAGAAGCTAGAACGCCTTCCTGAACTCAGCCTGTGAAACATAGGCGTCTGTTCCACTGCAAAGAGCAACACTTCCCATGATGTGGCAGCTCAGCTCTGTATTTCCAAGTGAGTCTAGCAGATCTAGCATTTTCTGGGTTCATTTCCTTTTATTATGATCAGCCTAAAATATACATTTAAATTAGAATGATCCCTTTGTTTGGGCATTTCTGTGCTAAAGGTGACCTGAAAACCTTTCTCCCTGCCAGGATCAGAATTTACAGACTGCTTTTTTTCTGCCTGTGGCCGATGTCACCAACACCTTAAGCATTACGCTGAGCTGCCTTCCTTTTCCTGCGTTAGGTGTTAGTGAGCTCATCAGTTGTAACTGGGGAAACACAGAATACTACATTTAGGTCTTGGCAAGGATATGAGAAACTGAATGATTTACATTGATTCTCTTTTAAAGTGCACTGAAGTCTCCACACATTGTGCTAATGATGTTGGATCTCAAACAGTTTTCATTTTGATTATGAAAAAAACCATTTCCATAGCATTTATACGAGTATTTCTAAACTGCTTAGAAAATGTGTGGATATCTCTGCGTGTACACTTATTT